GTTAGTTCCAGAATGATATCAATGACGTAAAAAATGACAATGACATTGGTTAAGCCTCAGCCATGATTCTAGCTCTGCTTAGTCCTTTCACTTCTACCTCGTAATTCATGATGTTAGAGCTTCGATGTTCAAATGTTGACACTACTGTCAAGTGTCAATATCACAATCAAAATTATTTCACAATCAGAAATATGTTATAATATCACAATCGAGAATATTATTCACAAATAACCATCAATTTCAATGCAAAACTCCCATCTTCACTGCTTTGTTTACATATGGGTAGCGGTGACGTCACACACAAGAACACATAGTAGCTACTAGCTACTACGTAGCTACATCGATTGTGACAAAAAAATGCACTATTTTGCTGCCCTACAAACAAATAAATGTAAATAATTGGTAATGGAAAAGTTTTTCTGGAACATTTTGAGAGACTGTGCCTAAGCAGAATACAATATTAATAAATTATTAGTGAAGATACTAACAATAAAGTAGTTCATTTGATGGCCGCTGCTAGCGCTGGCATCTGAATACGGGAGTGCCACCTTTGTTTAGAATTCGAACAATTCAATATCTCACTGCAACACAAGTCAATACATTTAAAAAATTAGTAATGGAAAATATGTTGCTGGAACACTTTAAGAGACCGGACCTAAACAGAAAACGATATTATTATATTATTAGTGAAGACTGAAGATACTAACAATAAAGTAGTTCATTTGTTTGCCGCTGCTAGCGCTGGCATCTGTAATATGTGAAGCTTCTAAGGGTAATTTTACTTCTATGGGTACAACTTCTATGATCAATTTGAATCATAAACATTTACCTAATGCAAGAAATTAGCAATCAATAATTCAAGGTTATTTTGTAAGTTTTGTAACAAAGGAAGACTACATTAAATACGTATTGGCAACTTATGCTAAGAAAATGCACTGAAACTGCAAACAGCTGTGACAGAAGGTGCCAGAAAGCGCCATCGATTCATTTGTCATTTTTTATTTCAAATCGCTTTCAGTTCTTTGGACTAGGAGCGTAAATTTCAGTGTAAAACCTATTAAAAGTTTAAGTTTCTACGTGGATTTTGATGCTGTTAACATTTAAATACTTGAAAGTATCTCTGATGCAAGAAATACTGGCTAAGTATATTTTAATTTAGAAATTAACATCAATCAAAATTACTGTTGTTCCGGGCTATGTTGGTTCTTGCGACCGATTTTTGCATCCAGTCGCTTATAATGAAAATAAAATTGTTTAAGCAAGTATTTCTTGCATTAGAGATACTTCAAAGTTTGTTAATGTTAACAGCATTATAATCGATGCAGAAATGTACTACAATCTTGTGTGCATTACTCATTATTTGTTGTGATTTGACACTATTGAATTCATAATAATACCAGTGTGGGCTTGATTTTCAGATTTGTGTCATTTCTGTTCCTCTGTGTCTGCCTGCTTCATACATTTACACGTTTGCTATTTATCAACTGTAAGAGATGATTGAATATGCATTATTAGTCTTTCAGTCATGCTAAATCTGTCATGTACAAGTCTTGGAAAATTATATTGATGGTCATGGAGAGTCATGGAAAAATCATGAAATAATAATAGCGGTTTCAGCGTTTATTAGGCCATAGGCCTGTCGCCGATTCTTAACATTGCAGAACATTCACAGCATTTTGAGGTCTTGAACTCACAACTCACTGCTACAATTCTGCTGTGCTTAACCGCCCGGCCTCCTTGCCGATTCTGACCAGAAACTGGCGCACAGAGCTGGGATCAAACCCGCGCCTCTCTAGTGCGTCAATCTTGGTACTCTGAACTTTTACCACTGGGCCACCCTGCCCAGTGTTTCCCTAAATACCAGTATGCACCCTGTGACTGGTATTGTGTGGTGTTTATTGATGAGTAGTGGCTGGCAAGTCAAGTGCAGTAGATGCTGGGTGGCAATCTATTTGTCATAGAAGGTAGCTAGCTTTTTATAGTAGTCTAGTAGGAATAATTACCTAAACCTATCTCGTCTAGTGTTTCTTTACAAGAAGTTTTTGTTGGCTTGTTAATTATTGTACCATGTTGAATTACATTATGGTATTTGGAAACTGTGCAAATACCTTTTCTGTGATTTGTTTAATTTACAACAATTGCCAATTACTTAAATAAATATAAACACAACTCTATTTAATACCGTAAACCGGGGCTATTTGGGACGGGCGGGATAACTCGGGACAGTCCTCTGACACGGCTTAAAACTGTTTTAGTAGCAAAACTAATTGGAATATTGCAAAACTAAATATAGTGGCGTAAATGTCAACATTTTTCCTATCTATGTAGTATAAAGGAAGTTCAAAAATACTACATTTACTAGCTCTGAAAAATTCCTGAAAGAAATTGTGAAAAACAATATTTTGAAAAGTTACTTCTGCTAAGGTCTATAGTAAAAAAAAATATTTGCCGTATTGAAAAATTTTGCTTAGAAAAAAAGTGGCAGACAAGTGTCAGCATAAAAACTTTATTTGCTGAATTTACATACCTCAATAAAAAAGTGGCGGCAATTTCCGCACAGCGGAGCTACTTGGGACACCCCCCCCCCCCCCCCCCCGGGGCTATTCGGGACACCCCCAAAAATGCATTTACAGTAGAACCTCAGTTAGCAAAGGCTCCAGTTAAAAAAAAAATAACTAAAAACAAAGAATATTGATCACATTTACCTTGCTTGGCAAAATAAATTTCACTTATCAAAAAATTAGTGCATCATCGGTCATCACAAAATTGTGCATAGAATGTCATACATAGAATTGTGCACCAGGCATCATAGAATGAAAAGTAATTGACATAAACTATGATTTATTTCTCCAAAACATATGATGGTTGTCACTAAAACATTCCCTTCTGTTTCAGGTATGTTTTTCATAATCTTTTTTTTATAGTAAATTCACTTAATCCAATTAAAATGGTGTGAAATTACAAGCCGTCCTGTAAGCTTACAGATACAGAAAAAATGCTATAAGGCTGCTGATATGAAGCTTGCAGTGGACAAGGTTGTTGTAAATGCTCAATGGCATGTTCATGGATACGGTAATATCACATCAATAATACGGTAATTAATGTATATGGTAATATATCAATAAAGGAAAAACAAGTAAAAATAACAGAAAATTCATTTATTCTACCTCTACATCATCTACAAATACTACAATGAAAGAGGAGGACTTCAGAGTTCTGTTAGTAATGGATGAGTTCACTCTGCATGCTTCAAATGTTTTAAAATGAAGTTTTATTCCCAGTGTGCCGAGTAGCCCCGTTCGACGGGGCTACTCGGGACACTTTTTTTGCTTTTGGCACCTTACGAATAGCATACGGAATTTTTTGGAAAAGCCATGTGATAGCTCTTGCAAAGAGCTTTGAAATGAGCCTAAACTTGTTTATGAAATGTTTCATGGTAAGAAGTTATGAATGAAAAACATTCGAAATTGTCCCGAGTAGCCCCGGTTGATGGTATATACCTAGTGGCTAGTGCATTTGTTGAATGCAAGCTGCTATATATTAAATAGAATGGAGAGCTTGTCATTTTGGTAATGAGTAGGTATGTAAAAATGAGGAAGCTGTTCCAAGAAAGGTGTGCCCTCCTTATATTATGAAAAACTTGCATTTGAATAGGCCCAATATTTATGGATCACATAAGCAATTAGTTCAGGAGTAAAGAAGGCACTGCTGGTTTGAAAAAATTAAACCATTAATGCATTATTCATAAAAATTTTTGCATATAAATAATCCCATGTACATAGACTAAAGGTTATCTCCTTATTAATGTTTTAAGTTACCAAATAACTGAAGAAACATACCAACTAACGACTGGCATATGGATGCTCAAAAATCAGATGACCCTTGAGATGCTATTACAATGACTCTTGTGCTGCACTATGAAACCTGGGCTTTTTCCATGATCAATTGAGTCAGCCTGCCATTAAATAAATTTTTTAATATGTGATTCTTGAATTGATCGTTAGGAAATATTATTTATTAACAATCAATTCAAGAAACAAATTGTTTCAAACACAGTGTTAGTAAATTATATTTGTAAACAATTCAAAAAACACAAATTAAAATTTTTTTCATTTAATGGCAGGCTGCATCAATTGATCATGAAATAAAATATTCGTTTAAAAATTACTTTTTAAAGACAACACTTCTGAACAATCCAGTGTCTTGGATGTTACACATGTACAATGAATTTCTAATTTTATTTTCAAATAATGAAAAAAAAATTATTTTTCAAATTTTTTTCTAAGATATCAAAATTTTGTAAATTTTCAAAATTATTTATTCTGTCAATTGATTCATGCATTGTCTCTGACTTTATGCAATTGTGCAAAATTTCAGATCAATTGGACAGGTCAAATTGTGTCATATATGGATTATAAGATTTGAAGCAGACGAAATTATTTTTTTGATTTTTTAATAATGAAAATTTTTTTTACTTTATAAAATTATTCATTCTGTCAATTGATTCATGCATTGTCTCCAACTTTACACAAGTGTGCCAAATTTCAGATCGATTGGACAGGTAGAAGTGTGTTGAATATCCATTATAAGATTTGTAGCAGACAGACAGACAGACAGACAGACAAACAAGAAGTGAAGTTAAAGAGAAGTGTTGTAATAAAAAGCCTTCTATGACAAATAGGTTACCACTCAGCATCATACTGATTGTTATCAATGTTTCCCATAATCTCATGTCAGAAGCAACAGGAAGACTTGCAGTGCAGACTAGTGCAAGATAATTAATGATCATGTTATAGGTGGTTTCCATCTCAGCTTTTATCAGTGTCATGATCAAAAACTGTAATAGATCAAGGTTTACTCGTTTCTGACAAATTGCAGTGCAACCTTTTTATCTTTGCCATAGAAAGTTTTTTATGTTTAAATGACATGGTGTATTCAAAATTTTCAAAAAATTGTCAACTGTGTAAAATTTTTGTCTATAAACTTCTGATGTTATTTATGTGCAGGTCCAAAATATTTCAAACCTTAAACAATGGATTTGGACTTGTTTCTGCATATGCTTTATTTGAAGGGAGAAATAGATGAGCAGCAATCAATAAACAGGCATTTAATTGGGAAAGTGGACTCATATGTAGACAAAATAAGAAAACTTGAGCATAAGAACAAGATTTTATCAGATAAAATGGAAGTATTGGCAAAAAAGACATCAAAACTTGATTTGAAGAACAAGAGCTTGTCCATGAATGATAAAGCATCCACTGAAAAAGTAGCAAAGCTTGAGGAACGAAATTCTGAATTAATGAAGTCAAACAAGAAATTGTACACTAAATTTAAAAAAGAAAAAATGAAAGCAAGAGCTTTGGAAAACAACAACCCAAACAAAGAGGAAGAAGAACATGAAAGTTTTGCTTCAAGAGATTCTTCCAGCTCACGCTCCAAAGAAAATGTAGGCCCTAATGATGATGATGAGAATCAAATGGCCCTTGCAGGATCACAACCAGCTCTAGAAAATAACTATAATAACAATCAAGAAGAAATGGACTCAAATTCATCAGGTCAGTAGTCACTATTAATTCATGTTTCTTGATTTAAAGTTTTGAAAAAATATTTGTAATTCGTTTAAACTATCTACAAGCATTTGAACCTTGCAGGTAGGTGAATGATTTACCATGCTAACCATCTTTATTTTGAAGTCATTCTATCTAAATTTTTCAACAATTTTTTACTGTGGAAATATTATAATAATGGTTACAACCTTGTAGGAACCAAGCGCACTGCATGAAATGGACAGGAGCCAAACATATTGGAATACTCATTGTATAAAATACTGTTCTGCAATTAATTTTGCTACTGATTTCAGATCATGCACCTGAAAAATTAAGCAAGGGTTGTCAGTGTGGGCCCTGTGGCACATTCTGGATCTCAAGTGCAGACTTGGAGCTCCTACGCCAGACTCACAGTGCTGAGCAGATGCAGGCGCTGTCATCGTTCCTTCATCCCATCGAAGACCTGAAGGCCGCCATACACACGGAAGTGCCTACTCCTGTCAATGACGTGCCACCCTCATCTCCAAAGAAAAACCTAACAGCATTCGATGTTAATGATGTCGACTGAAAATCTGGTCAACTTTTCAATAATTTTTTACTTGACCTAGATGTTTTAACTTGGCAGTTTTAACTGCCTAATATATTTTGCTGCCCACTCAAGGAATTAGGTGATTCTAGGTTAATTTTGATTCTAGATATTATTTTTTGTATGTATCTTTATTTGCTTCTTTGTAGAGGCAGTTACAGTGGAACTTGTACTTGTATTCTAGTATTATTGATTTCTGTTCTTATTGTCCCATTTCTCTCACCAATAGCCTTTTTGTGGATCAATTTGATTAACCGTTTATTGTTTGTTCGGAATATTTCATTTAATTTTGAAATCATGATTTTATTTCAATGTGCGCTTGTACGGATATATTTTATACTCAAATATATATTGTTTGATGCAGCAGGATTTTGGTTGAGCTTACAAAATGATAGATGTAGAAAGGAACATAATTAAGCACCAAAGAGTGAGTCAAGATTTTGATGGAAGAAAATTAATTTTATGTTCAATGATAACCGGCATCTCCTTGTCATAACTATTACGTTGCAACGAAGTTACTGATGTTGCCAGTGTATAACGGTGGCTTTGTTTAGTTTAGACTTGTGAAAGTATCAACACAGTACTTAGTTGTAATGTACTTCAAGAATGTCGATCAGCACAATTTTTTCGCCCACGGTCATCTGATGCATGTCTAATGACGTATTTTGCAGCTTATCCAAATAACAGTAAACACCGCCAGTGCCGTAATACTTAGACGTTGTTTGCTCTCTATACCAGCTTTGTTGAGGGCTCACCGTCCATTTCCTCGTCATTTCATGCCTTGGTAATTTCTCATCTGTTTTAGTCATGTTGAGATCTTTTCCAATGATCTTTCCTGACGGCGCCAAGTTTGAAGACAAGAAGTTCAAGTGGGAATGGAGAAAATCAAAATAAATTTTCTATTTTTTTTCGGCAATGCAGCCTTGGTAATAGGTATATGCGAGATTAACCAAAGAAGGCATTAAAAACTTACATAATTATTTCTCATGCTCTTATATCATATAAATTGAGGTCTTTAAAATCAGTATCCCTTCTGCACTTCTCTAATCTCATGTAAGGTACAACAAGATGCCCTTATTCTGCCCAATGGCAATTCCAAATTGCCCTGCGAACATAGCGTAATGTAAAGAGGAAAAGAAGCACTTGATTCATGCCACCGAGATTATTAATTCTCCTTGACGCTGTACTTGCCCGGAATAAAATTTAGACGTCTAGCATTTCTTCTACCAATGCTGGAATATAGCTCGACTGCCTCAAGGACGTCTGTATCAAGCGCGCGAAGGCGATCAGGTCGTGAAGTGTTGCTAAGGTAGTGAAGTCATCTTCGTGTGGAAATGATTGCACGCTCTATCGGGGGCTGCCTGCATATAATTTCGTTCATCGTCATCGAAGAGAATATCAGCTTGCCACACTGCCCTATGCTAACCCATGGCTTTGTACATTCAGATGTAAATGTATTCGTTTTTAACATAACTCCCTTTTTTTTGCACGCAACATCTTTTCCGTCTATCCGATTCCTCTTTGCATATCAATTAACACTGCTTTGCCAGTTCCCTCGTGAGTCTGGACCCATCATTCTTCTCTACTTGTCCATGTCAACCTCCGTCACGTGGCTAAGAACCATGTGTTATTCTTGTCAATTCGCTGCCCCCGTCTGCTTGTAAACAGCGTCTTGCCGGTCGGAATCTCTACTTCTCCCTCCTCCTCGCCCAAAATTCCTCGTCTCTCGCCCACCTCAGCGAACTATATGGCAACGTCATAAATGCCTTCCGTGAAGTAGAATTCGGGAACAGAACACCGTGCTTAGTCTCAGATTTCCAGAACTCGAACCATATGTTCTCGTCAAAATAAGGTTTGAAAAATCGGAACAAATGAAATCATTTAAATTCAACGATATTTATCGTGAAGAATATGTTGATCAGGTACACGTGACTTGATAGCAAGACTAGGCCTAGCCAGTAGAAGATGAAAAATCTGTACAAAATGTTTATAATAACATAAAATAGCGATTTGCGCACAAAAGAAACAGATAGAACTTGGGAGGTTCTTTTTCGGACGAAACGAGTTAAAATCGTCATAACTTCCATAACTATACGTTTGATTTTTCTAATTAGAAATGTGTAGAGACGCCAGCTGCACCGCCGGTAACTAACACACAATTTACATCAGAGTTTGTCAGATCGAAGCTTTGTCCACTTCACCCTCAAAATGTACGCGTGTACATCATACGGAGATCAAGGATGCAACGCGGAAACAAAGTCAGCTTCGAATAGTCAACAAAGACCTGAATCTATGACCACCAACAACCGTGTTAATATTCTTGCATGAATATTCATAAAACTAACTCAAAGTTCGGTTCGCTGTAACATCACCTGGGGCACGACTAGAGTACACGGATTTATTGGATGTAAACGTAAAACACGACCAACGAAACTTGATTCAATCCGAATAAAATTACAAAACACTGTACACAAATTTTAAATGAACATTTTACACACATTTCACACCAGCATATTGAAGCAAATTTCTTGCCTTTAACACAATATTCAGCGGGAACTCGAATGATCTTCCTTGCCGTAGCACGCATGAATAACATATGAAAATAAGATTCCATAGCAGCTGCCAACGAAGCGTCGTGATGCAGCGTGTGCAACGCGTTTGTTTCTAATATAATATTTGGGACAGGAGCTCCCATCACCAACCAGGATACCGAATGTATGCATAGCGAACTCATGCCTTTGAATGACACTTTAATGCGTACCCTATCGCAATAAAGCATATCACGCGGCAGTGAGGCCGCCCGCACGTGGCAGTGAGACCTCCCCAAAATACAGCAATTCACTTTAAATTCAAAAGTAGTGATTAGGGGCTAGAGAATCTAGCAAACTGCTGGAAAACTGCAAGTGTTTTTCGAAGTAACAATGATATATCAACATTTCAACCTCTCAGTTAAAATTTTTCACACGTTACTTCAACGCACAGTTAGTTTTCTTGTTAATTAGCATTTAGTTAACAAACTCAATTCAATTCATAAAAGTTCTTATTGTATTGTCTTATCATAAACAAATATTTGTCCAGTGAATAATTGAATAAGCTTAAGAATTGATCAAGATTCTACATTCACAAATGCTTGTAACTAACGAAAATTTTTACACGACATTTGAGCAGATCATCGAGACGTAAAAGATATTCTACACTTAAATATATAAGCTTTATTAATTGAGGTACGTTCACTGAGAGGACGATGCGTCATCAGCGAGAGTGACCGGAATGCTGAGGGGGTCACCGCCGGCGTCAGGAGGGAGCGTGATCAGCATCTTGCTGTCGCCGTCATTGTCTGATGAGTGGCCGCTGCTGTCGGAACTTTCCACCACTGAAGGTGCGCTCTGTACACACGCGAGTCCCACGTATTAGCTTTTACAATAGTACAGAGAATTCAGTTATTAGATGCTTTTTTAAGAAGACACTTTTAAGAAACAGGCAACACACAGTAGTAGGAATGACATTTAGAAGTGTCGAGGCAATATGGGAATATTGCCAACTAAGGCAATATTCCCAAATACTTCGTTAGAACTACAAATACTTCATTTAACATTTCTTTATTTGCCATAGCACGGCAAGCAAAGTATTCTTAATAACTCTTGTGAATAATAGTTAGTTAGTTAGTTTAGTGGCCAAATGTTTACTAGCGCTTCAGCTATTTAGCTATCTCGCACAGAAAGTCAAGATGAACATCACCATAGAGGTGGAAGGTCTCAATTATTCATCACCCGCAAGGGGGCGGAAGGTCTCAGATGTCCAGCCCGCTGAAGCTGGCTCGAAAGAAGCAGCGTTAGCATCTCAAAGAGACGAAGTGACAAGGAGGGACAGGTGAAAAGCAACAGAAACGAAGACACTCGAACAAGAGGTCGCTTACACGGGACGTCGGCCTCCCGCACGAGAGAGACAGAGAAGGGAAATGTAATGAATCCTACCTACATAATAACTTAACCCTACAACTGAGACCTACAGTCAGACACCGTGAGCACGATGAGCACGAGAGAGACAGAGAAGGGAAATGTAATGAATCCTACCTACATAATAACTTAACCCTACAACTGAGACCTACAGTCAGACACCGTGAGCTCAGCGGTGGGGCGCTCAGGAACAATCCCCCTACGAACGCGAAATCCCATAGGACTTCTGACGAGCACAGACACACGTCAGAAGTCCCCCCTGAGGGGGTTGTGCATAATAGTTTAACTTTCTAAGCCGCGGAGCACTTGAGTTGACATTTGTATGCCTCTTTATATAAAATTTGTAAAAGAGTTTTACTTTACTGAGGCGGGTGAATATCAAGTTCAAAATTTTCGGTAGTAGCTGTGAGGTACTTGAGCATTATGCTTGCTCCAGTGAGCTCAGGTCCAGAGAATTTATTTCCATTTTCACAGTAAAATTTTACTTGACCGAGCTCCAAGAATTCAACAGTCACTCTACAGTCAATTCAGAACATCTGCAGTTCATGCTGGTGAGGCGGCACAACGTCTGAACTCTTTTTCCCAGTCGCTTCGAAGTTCAGCCAGACAGCTAAGCAACAGCGAGTGTCTAGGAAAAAAGATGCCCTCGACTTTAAGCAACCAATACGGCAAGAATAAGTTTAAACTAAATACTTACAGACTTCTTGGCTGAGTGAGTTTTGATGTGCTTGGAGAGATGATCGGACCGCATGAATTTCTTGTCACATTCTGTACAATTGAAGCGTTTCTCTCCGGTGTGCGTGCGTTTGTGTCTCTGTAACGCAACAAAAAATGCTTGCACTTTGTATTGAGAAAGAAAAAAGCGGAATAGATACCCCAAACCAATTATCTAAAGAAATATTTGGCTGCATTGATTGAAAGCAAATGTATGCACACATTGAGTTTTAACATCTGCATATGACAATTGACCGATTTAATCCAAACATATGTAAAAGTGATATTTTGGAACAGGGTTGGCAATGATTAAATCAAAATGATTAAATCATGTGATTAAATCACTTGATTTTTTTATAAAAAAATCCTGATTTTTTTGATTTTTTCGATTTTTTTGATTTTTTTGATTTTTTCATATATTTAAATATATTGAGTGGTAGTCTTTAATTTATATTGAGGTATTGTTATTCATGTTTTAGTATAAATGTACTATGAATGACAAATTGGTATATAAACTTGTTGCCTTTAGTGTGTATTAGGTTCCAATAAATTGAATGTTTTTGGTACAGAGGCATCAAGTGTGCAATACATTGTACGTAGCTAACAGCTTAGCTAATTCTTATAAGGCTATAAGTAGTCTTTAACTATTTGATATATATATTGATTACAATATACAATTTAAATGTGTTAGCTAGCTTATACAGGGTGGGGCAGAACTGATTGAACAGTTTTGGGGCGAAATAAAAGAGTAATGGAGGTACATAAAGAAGAAAGTTTATTTTCCTCATGATTAGCATAACATACCATTTAAAATACTTATGTTTTGAAAACAATATCAGGAAGATGGGTTTGTTAGCTGCATCACACTGTTGGAGTCGTTCTCAGAAGTTTCCTACAGCATGTTCACACATATGACAAGGTATGGCCATAACATCTGCTGCAATAATCCATCCCCTTAGCTGTGGTAGGGTGTGAGGGCAACTTGTGAACTTCTCTTTTAGATGTCCCCTAAGAAAGAAATTGCAAATGCTCAAATCAGGTGACCTCACAGGCCAGTGTAAATCACCCCTCAGAGACGCCAGACCTCTGGGAAACATGTGTTTCAAAACATTGGGTGACATTCGGGCTGTGTGAGCTGTAGCCCCATCCTGCTGGAACCACACGTCTCGCAATATAAGTGGTAAACACCACCTTGGCCTGTTGGCCATTATTGAAGGCAATAAGTGCCCTTTTTAGCCATCCATTATGATCCATATACTGTTATTGTTAATAGGCTAATTGCAACATAAAAAATAACACTTCAAAAAGACAAAAAAGTTGAAAAAATCAAAAAAATCAAATAAATCATGAAAAAATCAAAAAAATCATTGATTTTTGATTTTTTTGATTTTTTTAAAAAAATCAAAAAAATCGCCAACCCTGTTTTGGAAGCAACATGCCATTGCGGTTGGGTATCGCGCGCATAATCCAAACAGGCCAGACGGAGGTAGTTTTTGTGCCACACTCAATGGCACAAGAAAATATTCTTCCGATTATGATTTGCGTATACAATATACTAATTCTGATCAAGCCACCCTAGTTCATGAATGCAGCTTTCAATAATGGAGATGCGGCTTATTCGCTGACCTGAATGACATGGGTACACACCTGCAGCTCGTCAGAACGCGTGAAGCGTTTAGTGCAGAACATCCAGGAGCAGGCGAAGGGACGATCGCCAGCATGCCACCGTAGATGGGCTCTGAGATGGGAAGTCTTGCCGTAAGTTTTGTTACAGCCCGGGATGTGGCAGATGTGCTGACGTCTTTTGGTCGAGCCCAGGCCGTTGCTGCTGCTTGGCTCCCCGCGTTCGTTGTTAATGCCCCCGTCGCGGCAGTTGGGGCAAGTGCAAGCCACCCTAAACGTGAATCAAACGTTAACTCAAAAGTAATTTAATGAATTGCAGAGTATTCACAGCTAAAATGTACAATATTGAATCAAATGCCGACAAATTCTAACCTTATAGCAAATAACTGAAACCAGCAAACAAGCAGGAACAACTATAAGGGAGACAAAGTAAAAAAGTTCAGGGATCAGTACTCGAGAACAACTGTTAAGGGAGACAAAGAGAAGGCACGGGTGGTAAGTCTACCTCTTCAGACGCGTGCGCGGCTCAGTAAGCTCTTCTTCCAACTGGAGGGGATCAGATGCTTGTGGCACGCCCGCTAGAGTGTTGGCGACGTTGGTGACGAGGAGTTGTTGCTGTTGCTGCTGCTGCGCGATAGTCGTGACCGGGGAGCTCGCAACGGTGGGGAGGGGGGAGACCAGCTGGGCAGAGGGGGAGAAGATTCCCCACTTGCTGGTTCCGTCCACACCATCACCAGGCAGGCCTGCATATACCATATACATCATCGTATGTAAGGGTAATACACGTTATTGTGATCTACTGACAATACAAATCACGATCGTTACCACATTTGACTGATAATACAGTACCAGCGTAATAAAAACAAAGGTTTATTAAAGCGTTAGCTGTGAAGTCATCTGGCATAAGAAATCGCACAAGAAGCTACACTGACCCAGAAGAAGGTCTCAATCAGTACACTTCGCTAATCTAAATTCATTCATCGTCTAAAGAGAGGAAAGCTAGACTGCTGAAACGGGCGTGAAAGGAGCAGAATTCGCACCAAAGAGGAACAGGAAACGGAGTGAGGACAGGTGAACAATAACAAACGCAATGACACGAGTATCAATGGGTTACCTTCACTAGACGTAAGTCATCCACTTGTGAGTGACAGAGCAGGAAATTGCATGGAATCCTGCCTATATAACAACTTAATCCCACAACGAGACCCGAAATCGGATACCGCATACCGTGCGGCGGTAAGGCATGTAAAATTTATTAAGATTTCTTATGAGATAAGCAACACGACAGAACTATTTTGAATAGTAATGATGCTAATACACAGTTATCTGATACTGGAGGTTCTCAAAGTATGTAGCGGTCGGAGTAGCAAAATGTGGAAAAATACGTCATGTAGCGTAGATACAGTACAGTGTACTTGTGTCAGAATGAGTCACTCTCGCTCGGCCCCGAGTGGTTGTTTTACAACAAAGATGTCTACTGGCAAGCTGCTTGAGTTAACTACTGCCACAGTAAAGGTCTGCTTAAATGAGCCACTACTTGGGCGAGCCACCACTGCAACTTACTTATGATCTGAGCGCCTCCTGGCAGCAAGTGCCCCTGCAGTGGCGTGCCGGCAGTGGTGATGCTCGTCTGCTGTGGCTGCTGGGCGGCCAAGATGGTGCCAGGGGGAGCGCCTGCAGCTGCCGTCTGCTGCAGTGTTGCCAGGGAGATGGGCAGTCCTCCGGCCAGCGAAGAGAGATTTGCCGCGCTCACCACTTGCACCTGCAATGTTTTTTACTAGTTTCTTACTAGGAACGTACTAGGCACTTCTTTCCTAGTAGGGTACTAGTCGGAACGTTCCTGCACCTGCCATGCTAATTCAAGTCAATATCCTACTGCAGAGTCGGTCGCCAATAAATGCTGCTTGCTGATAGAGAACTAAGAAAGTTATGAAATTAACATTGAGATGCACATATAACAGCTAGAAAAAGACACAACCTGCATCTCAAACAATGGAGTAACAAAGTGGCGAACACAAGTCGTTGTGTACCCAAAACAATGGAGAATATGGGGTCTAGAGGATCTTCAGTCCATGCCAAATGCATGCACGCAATTGATAAGTATTATGGACGCCGCTCGCCGCTAAACGTTGCTCATTTGGAAGGTCCAGAAAAATTTTATTTTATCCCTCGCACTCACATGTCCGATGCCAGGGATGTGGTGGAAGAGCTGCCCAGGCTGCATCACCTGCAGGGACGGCATCTGCAGGCCTTGTCCTGCAGCCGCTGCCGCCAATTGCTGCTGAGCTGCTAAGGCTGCCGCTTGTTGTTGCTGCTGTTGTTGTTGTTGCTGCTGCTGCTGCTGTTGTTGTTGTTGTTGCTGCTGCTGCTGCTGTTGTTGTTGCTGTTGCTGCTGTTGTTGACTGGTGTTTGACGTATTACGGGGAACAGAAGTAGCGACCTGCTGCTGAGCTGCCTGACTGCTGGCACCAGGCCCAGTGCCGCCGTTCACCTGCTCCAGAAAAATATATCATCCATGGAAGAAATCAGGCCTGACAATTTATTCAGGTTACTCTAATTATGGGAGTTAAATTCTTTGAAACTGAATGAAATGCATGCACTATGTTTGATGAGAGCATCCAAAAAAGTTACTTCGTTATAAGTGCTGAATGCGTGTGTGATAAACATGTACCTGTAATAAGTCAGGCACAGAAAAACTGTGTTTCCATGCAGCACAATTAGCTCAGCATACACAGCAAAAAGTTAAATGGAACTTTAGCAGTCGCGCACGCTACACACCATAACGAGCTCAGGAATTTACAAGAGAAATTTTTGAAACTAACTTGACTGATATATGCAAAGCCGATATGCCAAAAAATAGTGTTTTGGGGGTGAATTCTAAACTAAGAGAAAAACATTGTGTACATGGTGAGAATGTAAAGAAACAGTAAAGGCAGCACATGGTGTGCAGGCATGAGTAAAGTGAGTTCAGGAAATGAACGCAAGGTAATTGTACCTGCGCGTGAGCAGCAGCCACGTTGGTGAGTATCTGCTGCTGGACGGCGCTTGCAGTGGTGGCAGCGAGAGCATCAAGAGGCTTTTCCTCTTGCGAGGGCGACCCTCCGGGCACACCCAGTGACGGAGTCGTGGAGGCTGTGGTGGTCCAGGTGACCCCAGCCCCCGTCGAGCCACTCACAACACCCCCATTGTTGGTTGCCACCAAGCCTCCAGCGCCTCCTAGTCAAATGATAGCTCCATCAACGTGGCACAGTCATATAAACAATCATTAGCAATACCTACTTTCAATGAAGTTTGGCCAAAAATTTCCTCATTGTATAACGCGAATGAAGCAACAGTGGCCGAATTATGGTGTTTTTGGGTAGCATTAGGGGTAAAATTGGCTACCAGCATGAGGGCATGACGATTCCGGATACATTTGACAATGAAACTATCTTTGACAACAAAACTGTAGCTATTAAAGAAAGTCACTGCAGTTCAGATTATGCAATGGCTCATAATAATGTGAGGACATTTTTATAAACTAGTTTGCACAGGCAGGTCAAATATGTAGTTGAGTAGTTCTCCAACTTTTATAAAAATATTTCAATATTACAAATATTAAACTGAGTTTTCTATATCATTCAAAATAATGTATTAAATACATTTATACAAATAGTTTATTATATTAAAGTTAAATATTGAACACCACAAGAAAAATGAATAGCGAGCAACTGACCAGCAAGTTGTCCAAAGGAAACTACTCCTGCAGCGCTGGTGAGGCCAGCAGGTGCTGCTGCCGCCATGATCTGCACCTGCTGCAGCTGCCCGTTAGGCAGAACTATGTGCGCCAGCTGAGGCTGTGGTGACATCTGTAAAACATAGCAACTCAATTCACGGCTGGGTGGACGTTTCGCACAGAAATGGTGTTTAGAAAGGCTGACAATACAACCACGATTAATACAGTGATAAGCCCACACAGAACTGAGCAAAGCAACATTCTGCGCATATAACTCACAATCAAAGAATAAGCACCTAATACAGTTTCATGAAAGATCATATAAAGAAAATTATAGAAAAAAATTCTGAAATATTATTTGGAGTTTTTCATTCCCAGGTTACATTCAGCACCAGCAACAAAAAAACCCACAGTTTTTGGCTTCACACAATCATAACTTTCACACCAACTTAAAAATTTCGATCCGAACATAATAAGTTCTTTGTGATAACAAATAAGATGAATATTGAACACCGTGATTCTGGAAAGCTAGAGAGAGCTACTTACCATTTTGTGTGAATATGGCAACAATAGTTACTAGGCCTTAACGCTTGAACGTAGGAAACTAGAAATTTAAGTTCTGGATATCCAAGTTCTTATTCTGGTAGTAATAGAAAGTATGACAAATTCTTAGACTAACTTGAGCATTTTTCAGGGTTTTGCATACTGAAGGAGTAAATTGCAGTTGAAAACCCCATTAAAAATGATGAAAAAAAAATTAGTTACATACTGCTTTCAGGTCACTAGTCACAAAACTTCATTTTCATAATTTTAGACCCATATTTTAATGACATGCAGAAGGAACATCAATTTAGAAGTCTGAGAAACAACTTTACTTTAAGTGCTCATATTTTAATTCAGCTGGAGAGGAACGCCCGAGGCATGATAATGTAGGATCAAACTCAAACCTGGGACATGGTCAGCAAGGTTTTTAGTTACCATTAACAATAACTTGATCAGTAAAGGTTTGACATACAAATAGCTTCAATAATGCTCTATGCATCCTTAGACCAAAGGTTCCTCAAAGTAGAATGGAAAAATTACCGGCATCAAACCTATTGCAGTTTAACCCTGCAGTAGTCTTGCGGATTACATACGTAATTCATGCGTTCGAAATCGTGATAAAAGAAGCACAAGCTTCAACTTCTAGTGCGTCCAGCTACTTATAATTGAATGTTCAAGAAAAACGCTCAAAATCGCGTGCGTGCCAGTTACGAGGGTATTTTGTAGCAAGAGCTCACCAAAGTCCGCGGATTATATATGTATTCTGCGCGACCAGTTACATAGGTACTCGTATGTAGGGTAAACAAATTTTGGACATAATTTATTTATTTGGCGTTATTAGTGTTGATTTTATGCTCTTAATGGAAATATTTGCTTGTTTGTCACTACTGAAATTGCTGACAATCATAACTATTTTTATTTTTGAATAAAAACGAGCGCTAAGCAGTCTGTTTACTATTTAGGGCGAAATCAGTGGTTGCTGGTCTTCTTGGGCAGTAATGTTTACCTTACTCCTACTGAGAAGAGAGGCTGTAATTAGTTTTTGTTAATTATATTTAAGAAAATGAACTTCATTGATAGGATTCTTATTCAAATAAACAATGTCCAAAGCTAAGACATTTTTTATCTATCAGTTTATAGCGTGCGACCCCTGCTGGGTTAGCTGGCAAGAACATAACAAAGGTAATGAGATGCCCCTCACCTGGGCTAGTTGTGGGAAGACTTGGATGCCCTGGGCGGTGGCTGTGGTGCCAGCCATCATGTTCTGCACAAAGGGCAGCTGCAGGGGGATAGTTTGCAGTACACTGCCTCCTCCAGCTCCTGACACGGGCACCTGCAGGGGGATGGTCTGACCCATCCCTCCCACTCCCAGCTGGATGATCTGTCAACACCCAAGCCATTAGCGTCACACAGGCAATTGCTTATGAAGCCACAAATAAATATTGCAGCGTTTTAGTATCCATACAATGTGACAATGCCAGGCGCTTCATTATAAGAGTTACAATATTTAAAAAAAGGTTGCTTATCATTATCTGCTCTGACAATTTCACATCAAATACCTTCTATTGAGTCGGCAAATTAACGTCACTGTATGAAGGACATTAGTTTGGAAATTCAGAAAAAAACATGGCATGATTTTATAAGCAACAAACTTTTTCTGTCTAGACACAAAACATTACATATTATGGCAATAACCAATTCCAGAGCCCAGCAATGTGGTCACTCCTGCACTACAGTCTGATAGCTGCAATGTAAGTGCCTCAAGTGCAGTCAATTGAAGGCCAAAAATTTGAAATATCACGACTAATTGGAATAAACTTTCCAGACCTGTGATCCCAATTGGCCAGCAGCGCCCACAGTCTGTTGTTGTTGTTGAAACTGAAGCTGCAACTGTTGCTGTAGTTGCTGCATCTGTTGCTGCTGTAACTGCTGCTGTTGTAATTGCTGCTGCTGTTGTTGTTGTTGCTGCTGCTGTTGTTGTTGTTGCGATGCTGTTGACGTAGCTGCTGGGGCAGCTCTCAGAGTCACTTGCTGTTGTTGTTGCTGAGCAGCAACGGCAAGGGCAGCCTGTGCAAATCATTCATAATTAACTCAATAAACCTTTAATTCCATAAGATTTTTACTCCCGTTAACAAAATTAGGACAAAGAAATTTAAGATAAGCAAATAAATTCTCAAGACTGAGACGAGTCTCACTTGTTGCTGCTGCTGCTGCACAGTGCCCTGTATGATGGAGGGCACCGACGTGGCGCGCATCAGCTGCCCATTGGGTGCAAGTAGCGCCTGTGTTGTACCTCCCAGCTGCACTGCCTGAACATCACCAACAACGTCTCTTGACTCTAATGCTTTGTGTCAGCACAGTTGTCACCATAATAGTCTATATAATACAGCCTTCACACTTCATTTGCCTATTGAAAACTGACACAGCTGAACTTTTATGTGTCTCAGTTTAATTTGTCACCCTTGGTAAGCTAGCCAACAACATTAAATGTTAAGAAATTTTCATCAGAATTCTATTTGAGAAGTTGGTGTTGATCCTCATAATCTTATTAAAAGTACTATATATGACTAAACTGCCTATTTTGTTTCTTTATGAGTAGTCACTTAAATGCCTAAAACATTATTTAATACATCTACCATACCAATCCTGGCACCTACAGTTGTTCAACTCTTAGTCTTCAAAGGGTATACAACAGAATTTGCTTGAGTTGCTAAATGTTTCAACAATTGCCCCCAGCTATTAATAAGCTAACATATAAAAGCTTAGACAATGATGTTTTTTCCTATTCCAAGAGGAAGCAGAATTGGATTCAAAGAATAATTCAAGTGGTTGAAACAATTGTCATTACATGGACAAGACACTCACCATTTGCTGGTGAGCTTGAGCTGCTTGCATGCCAGAAGGTATGTAGAGAATTTCCTGGCCATCAATGGTGATGGTCTGCATCTGAACTGCAGCCTGAGGCATGACAGAATATGTCTGGCCATTGGCCGAGATGATCTGTCCTTGAGCAACATCTCCAGCTGATACTGTGATTGGGGATGCCTGCACAACACAAAGTTTATTCAAAATGGCAAATGAGGAAAATTAACAGCATGGATAGTCTTCATGTGATTGAAATAAACTATTACATGTCAAAAATTATATTTTCACCTATATTATATAATATATTCAAATTATATATATATAACAGCTGGTACATGTAATATTTCTCAACTACAAAAAAAAAAACATAGGAGGGATGTGGGAAGACAGCACCAAAATCACAAACAAGAATGTATTGTTTTGGGCATAAATAAATGAAAATTGTTGGATATAACAAAAGGCAAACAAGTACATTGGGCTCCCAGTAACATATTGAAAGTTATTAGAAGTATGCTAGCTTAAAATGCAGAAAAAATGAGCTGGATCTGAGGTAAGTTGGAATAAAAAACAATCAGCTTTATCATAAAATGATTCAGAAAAAATTTATTGTTTTCACATAAACATTCTGCAATGCCAAAAGTCCAATGTGCCAATCCAGCTTGTGGTACATTCAAAGTTTTTTTCAGTTACTAATACAAATGACACAACATGCTCATTAACATTTTGGTCATGTTTTCCCCAAGTCCTTCCCAATCTGATTATTAAGGTTATTGATCACCAGAAATCCTATATTTGTAGTACAGTTTAGAAAAAAAATCTAAAATGAATTTAATTTAATGCATTAACAGAGTCTACTATCAACTTGAGATGGCGGTATCTGAAACCAGGAGAATGCCTGCCATGGTCCTGTAATATCTTACCCCACAAAGGCTTAGTCCCATGTGACTATAACATAGCAACTAAAATCAAATATAAGATAATAAACTTCCATCCAGAATACCCAGAAGTCCAAAAGTCAATATTTTATTACAAGTAATTATGTAACAATACCAACTCAACTAATAACAAGTATAAATATGTGTTTGGTTTCATTATTTTCCAGAATTTTTTGACAGATAATACCATAGCTTTGGCATTTTCTGTTTAAAAAATATTTTATCAGCAGTAAGCAATGTTAAGTCCTCATTTACCACCAAGTTTGAAGTGTAGCCTGCCAAGAATGAAGAAGACACTGGACTGCAGGATGGAATTTCAAATTTCTGAGGTAGAGAATAAAAATTTTTCATAAATATTAGAGAATAGAAAGAGAATGTCCAATATGTGGTTGAAAAAAAAAAGAATCATAAAAATTTTGAGTAAATTTATTGAAGATTACCTATTTAGATCGGCTGGCCAGAATTGATGTATTTCTAGCTTGAAATTAAAGATTATGTATGCTTGCTTATTTGCTTTCATACTACAATGCCTCAGATAATTGCATGACCATTCAAATTGTTTAATGATGCCAATTTATTTCCATAGTCACGGGCAGCTAAATCATGTAGGAGGTTATGTCAAGCAGCAAAGGCATTCAATTTGACAGATAAATTTCTGTTATGTTACAGCATATTCACTAGCAATGAACCATTAGATCATCAGAAAAAATTCAATTTTTGCTTATATTCAATAGTTTAGCTAAATTATAATGTGTATATAGGTGACTAGCTCATTAGCTAAATTATAACATCTATATAGGTGACAAGCTCATATCATTGTGATATAGGACACAAATTGGCAACAAATGACAAATGATTCTTATCACTAAACACATAAGATTTTTTCCTATAAAGAACATCAATGGAAAAAATAACTATTTTTAGAAATGAACCTTTATAAACACAACTAACATTATATTCTTGCAATACATGTAAATGGTACCAAAACCATCTCTGTACGTTGATTTATGCATTCACGACAGATCGCGAAAGGGTTAGGCGCGAGAGTTCTTTACCATTGAGATAGGCCAAAAATACCGGTAACACACTTAAATAGCTAGTCTGAACACGCTGTGCTTCAGTTATCCGCCTGCAGTTGTATGGGATGGTTCTTGTGCCGTCGTTCACACCATCCTTGACAGAAATTGAGCTAGAGTATCATCTAGTCTTTGCAACCTTGCACCCTTGAATGTCATTTTTGAGGTGCACGCGACTTTGTTGGGCCCTACTGAAAAGTTAACTTATTGTCACTGCAAACCTATCTCCTACAGTTTTGAAGCTACAACAATGAGACATATATCATTCGATTCACAAATAAAAGATCTACAAAATATTTATGGCGTTTTTCCTAATTTTCTTATAATTTGGATTTTATTCTGCGAAAAATGGGAGGATGGCTTGGAGAAAAATGAAAAATTTATGAAAAATGCCCCATTGACAAAATTTTTCTATGTCAAATAGTTTTTGAGTTGTGGGGGTTTTTGTTAAAAAAATGAAAAGTGGTCTAAGTTACCCCGCCGGTCTAAGTTACCCCATTTTACGGTACTAGGTATCCTAATTCCTAGTATTCTGAATTCAGTTATCTAGAATCCCTTTATTCAAAGAGGTTGCTTTTACATCAACTTCTTGGCTAAAATTTATGTAAAATTTTATTTCTAGGAGCTTTGTCATGGTTTGCACAAGCAGGGCCCCCATATTCGACATATCTAAGTCTTTTGAGCACAATGTACATGATATTTCCATACCTTCATGCTTTGGATGGCATCCAAGCCAGACACGATAAGCTTCTATTCTTAACCACAAGTCATGAAATTTACACTTTCCAGGCATGGTGATGTAGAAATTGCATGCTAAGGATGGAACGCTGCCACTGCAGATCAAAAAGTTGTCCAATGCCACTGAGCTTGGTGACCAAGCTCACGTGATTGGAGAACCAATCGGAACGCAGGAAACATGAGACTGCACAAACAGTTTAACACATGCAGCACAGAAAAACTTTTTTTCTTCTTTTATTTAGAAATTCAATGACTCTCCATAACCTGATATGAAATCCAATGACTTTCCAGGCCTGGAAAATGAAAATTCAAATTTCATGACTTTCCAGGTTTTCTATGACTGGTACAAATCCTGGGGTAAGTCTGTCAATCTGAAATCTTTGCTTTTGCAGCCCTACTGCATGAACTTTCATGGTGGGTGACCAAGCTTGTGAAGTTGTGAATCAAGCAGAATCCACTCACAAATGAGATAAAAAAGCCCCTGATTGATCATAATTACTTCATTTCCTACAGTCCTTTCACAATTTATTCAGCACAAAGTAAGAGCCCTTTTAAGCATGCAATTTTTCATATTGACACATTAAACAAATTTTATACATGCAATTTTTTTTAATTTAGCCCAATGTACCAATACTGGAGTAGGAGACTTGGAAGTTGCAGGTTTTGATACATTTTGCGTTGATGATGATTTTGCCATATTGCATGAAATGCCATTGTTCTAATATAAAAATTGGGAAAATGACAATTATGAATGAGACAGAAACACCTGTGCTCACATTCAATTTTGTCCGTTTTTACAGCCCCTTTTGACCTTTTATAACACGTTTTTCTTTACTCAGCTTCGGGTTTGTTTGTTTGTTGTTAACATTGACAACAAAAATTAGCCCACTTCTGATTGCTCTAGAGATTTGAAATTCAGCATGCAGGTTTTTTTGCCTAACAATTTCAGATAAATCATAAAAACTAGCAATTAGAGACCTAAATTAGCTTAATTGAGTAAAGAATATATATAGTATGACGTGCGGGCACTGACATTATAGACAAGCAGGCGCTGATGCTGCGTATCATTGATACGGATGTCAAGTCAAGTAAATTGGCTCACAACAACGTTTTTTATGTTTAGCAATGGACTAAAAAGGAGAAAATAAAATACTAAAAAAACTTTAAAAAAACATGTTTTTATTGCAGACTAAAAACTAGAAAATAAATTATGGCTCGCCCCAAAAAATGTGGGTCAGGCAGTACGATCACCATCAAATTTCCAAAATTTGTGTGTAGTGTGCTTTTCGCTTTAATCATAAATCTGCCCAACACACGTTTTTTGGGGCTAGCCATAATTTATTTTCTACTTTTTAGTCCTCAAGAAGTATGTGGTTTTTTTAAGCTTTTTAGTATTTTATTTAATAACGAAGATGACATTTTTGCCCACAAATTCTGCTATTACCCCTGCAATTTGTCCATTTTCACCCATGAGATTGCAAAAATTCTGCCTGATATTCCCAATTGGCCATGGATAATGGATTATAATATAAATTATAATCCATGACATACTTATAGCCTAATGACATACCGGCTACCTAATTTACTGTTCCCACTTCCCACTGCTTATTTCAGCTTCAGGCTGCGAATCAGGCAGCTTAGGCTATGAAAGGAGACAAGGAGTCAAAGGACAATGCTTTCAGTTTCATGGGTGCAAATCTAGAAACTTGCAACCCACCAACCAAGGGTTGGCTGTTGGCATTATTTGGCCTGGCCTTTTGTAAATGAATATTTCGCCATAATTTGAGACTGGTGTTCATAAATATATTTATGGCTTCCAGCCTTTTAATTGACAAGTAGGTACATGAAATTGTATGCGTTTAAATTAATCACTTGACCTTGGATTTGAAAGAAAGGTATAAATTTAGTTCTTACTTTAGTCTAAAAATCCAGCACATGGCTGATGGTATAGTTTACAACCAAGCTCAAGAATAGTTGACTACCTAGAGTCTCCAAGACTCCATAGTCCATACCTAGTGTAACGCGTATGATGGAAGCGAAACTTTCGAGTTAGCAAGGCAACTTAGGCAAGTTCGAGAGAAGTAATTATGTTCAAGATATGGAAAAGAAGAAATCGTTTTTATTGAAGGAGGCGTTTGAAAGGCGTGTGTAAGGAGGTGCCCAGAGCCAGTGCAAGGGTAACACCAAGTACTGTCAAGATAGCCTTGGCTCCCTCCTCCAAAGGCGGGGCACCGCCATTAGCTCTCCTCCTACAGTCCTACTAACTTCAACGCTTTGCTTACCGTTTCGTTTTGTTGCACTCCGTTTTCTTGCTTCATTTTTCAATTAATAGCTTATGATTACCCAAACAATATGTTTCGAGTCTGAATAGCAATATTACTCAACAGATGAACGATCTTCACTTTTGACGTAGAAATAATAAATGCACCTTCCAACCACACGTCTGCGACGCAGCGAAGATTTGAGTGTGGAATCTCGCCTCCTGGTGAATGAAGTATTACTACGCCCTGGGGGAGAAGCTTTATTTTTCTATTCCGTTATCCAGAAAAATTCATAAATTTTCATATTGATGCATGATACTATTTTAGATTCTTAAACTGTTGGAAAATCTATATTGTATGCTATAACAACAATTTTTTTGACAATGCAAGAGAATATAAGTACTAGATTGCGATCAATTTTTGTTGACTGAAATGAGATTTGGCTGCGCTCGTATGTTTCAATTTGTTTCGTTGATTTCAATACAACTCGTTCCCTTTCTTGTTTTTCTAAGATTCATTGATCAATATAAAAATTATTTGCTGTTTCATTCGATACAATCCTAAGCTTTGCCTCTAATCGAATTGTTTTTCATGCTATTTGAACCATTTCTCCGATTCTTCTGTGTAAAGATATCAACATCTATTTCGTCTAACTTTCTATAACCAATAAGAATTACTCATTAGCCACGTATTACTAAAATCTAAAACTGCAAATAACGGATCCATAAAAAAGAGCTTATCAAATAATAATCATATGGGATTATTTTTAATACCAGATGTAAAAAGCATCACATCTTGCTTCCTAAATTAGGGGGGTGTGTCCGGCTGTTAGCCAGCCTACTTTCTTGACGGACAGAAGCGGCAGAAGGTGCAGCCTAGCGTCTGCGGGCGGGAATAACGAGTTATGCTTTACATGACCGCCTACAAGGCACCACTTTGAGTGGTCTGACCATCCATGGTGTGGAGTGAGTTTCATTGTCCCACCCCGCAGCTATTAATACTACTTCTTTTATCTTTAGCGCCCATTCGTCAAAACGAAATAAAATAAACTTGAATGCATTAAGTTAATCATGATGATTAAGATATAAAACATTTTAAAGTGTACATGCCAATGTAGTTACCATCATAATCATAGTTGATAATTACACTTTGGTGTGTAGTGATCCAGTTCGAGAGCCAATTTGTAACACCCATAAATGCATTTATTAACATTTTTAATAACGATTTGTATTATAAACCGATTTGACTTTCATTGATAAATGGACCTGAAAATGTATATCTATTCTAGTGGGGGAATCCTAGAACCATGCTTAGACTAGAGCATGCAAAATGCGGTAGGATTAATAGGGTAATAGTTGTAAATTTATATTTTAGCTGTTGAAACTAAATGAAATATTAAAAAAGTGAAATTTTATTCCTTACCTTATGATCAAGGTAAGATAAGTCATACGAGTTCGATGTTTAGTGTAAAATGTTGGTTTTACCGGTTGCTTCTTTAATTAGCACACAGAAGCTTTATTAATATTTACGGGATTACCAATTAAGCAATTTTGGATATACAGCTATGAGCTATTATCGAGCGGGCAATGCCGGGCTTACCACGGTTGAAATAATACATGTATTAATTAAACCACGGGGCTAACGCTATATAGTTGAATATAAACGCTGATCGAATACGCGTTTTGATCTTTCTTAATACATAAAGTCAAAAATAAATAAACAGGCTTTTTAAAAATGGGAAGCTTTCCCATCGATTGAATTTCGTTTACCTTGCAGCCAGGATTGCGACATTTTTTTAATAGTATAAGACCAATAAGATTATATTCCAGACCGATTTTTTTTTCATTAGTCCTGTTGAAATTTCATGCAGTCATGAATCATGATGACAAGTCTCCATGTTACTTAATTTGGCAGAAATTTCCACTTCGATGCAGAACGCAAAAAATACCTTCTGTTTTCCTTATTCGGTTGTCACGTTGAATTAAAACCTAAGCAAAAGAAGGATATACAATTTATAGTAATGTTTCAATCGACTAGCAAAGAGCTGTCTCGTAATTTTGCTCGACCCAAATAGTTCTAGGGATTTGGAAGCACGTTTTCTTATTCAAAAATATTTCGATTGTTTTAAATTCGCCAGTTTATAGTCTACTGTACGTAATTTATAATACATCGTTACTGTTACGGCCATTACTGAAAAGAACAATGACGTAACAAGGCAATTCTGTTCCTAATCAAACAATTCTAAAATGTAAGGGGTGCATCACTTGAAACTGTGATAGCTGGTGTAATACTCTGTCAATTTATTACATCACCCTTTTCACTTCACAAATAATCTTTGTATAATAATAAAAAAAAATGAAATGTTCAGAAATCGTGATTATGGCGGCAAGCGGGGGATAAATAAAACTCTTCATATATTGAACTTACCATGACGAATCTTAGTTTATAGCACAATATACGTGAGCGCTTTTAAAACACTGCCCCATTGAAATGAAACTTGATATCAGCTAGTAAAGATTCTAGTTTACTAGTAATTTAGGTTCTGTCGGTCCGTAGTCTGGCGCTAGAAGGAAAAAAAGGAGTGGGAGTATTCATCGGTTCTTCTCTCGTTTGTTGGTGGCTTCTAATTAAGCAGCGGGCTAAAGTATGATGGTGGAACTTACATATACTCCAGTTTTTGCATGAAGTTTTTGCATGACTTGGTACGCCGTGCAGGCATTTTTGCGCTGCTCTCCAAAGACTCGAGTTCAAGCGAGGGGCTCGATGTCTGGTTTTACCACCATCGATAAGGTCCTTGAGTCAAGCGCATACCATCTATCAGTCAAGCGCCCCATCAATAAAAAAACTCTAGCCCCGCGAGTCCACGTTTCACTGAAGTACACGAGCTACATCCTACACGCACGATGAGTAATCTATAAGATTCGTCGTGCCTTCCCATATATCAATGGACCTAGCCTGCGTGTTGCATCATTTCAGTTTTTGATGGGTGAGGGTGCTTTGCCTTGTGACATCTGCTGCAATGGGATACACATGGTTCCCCCCCCCCAGAGAAAGTTATAGGTGATGGTCACACCGAGATGCTTGTCGTTAAAGATTCCGTACTCTGCATGTCGCGAAGGATTCCAGTTTATGGTCATGCAGAGTATAGATGGACAGGAAGAAATCGAGCAGGATCATTTCGTTAATCAAGGCCACCCACCCATTCGACCACCACTGCCAGGTCATCCACCACAAGGATCTGCTCTTTTCACAGGCTTCCTATTCCGGAAACCGTGTTGTGTGTCGCAGAGGATGCTGCTTCTGTCGAGGTGAGCCGTGATCTCCGATCTGATGATATGCTCCCTAAACTTGCAACACGCATAGGTCAAAGAGACAGGCCTGCAGTTGGCAGTCTGACTACGATCTCTTATCCTGGACAACGGCAGATGTCTCCCTGAAAAGTCGACATGTGATCTTGTCTGGACACGTTATTGCTTTCCTGAGGCTTACGCAAGAAAAAAGTTTCTGCTGGTCTCCAATGGTAGGTACTGAGATCGTAACATGGTTGATCATTAGCTGTTGCCTATTGATCAGAGGTTGAATGTCGGAGAGCAATTTTTGCTGAATGCGTTTCATAATTAATCGTTGAGGTTGCCTGCCGTCTCCTCACCGCCATCGACCGCAACTCGGTTTCGTTTGAGCGAGGCAACACCATCGTGTTACATCACTTGCTTTGACAAACTGTTAAAGGTTTTTACTTGTGACCTCATCAACTGAGCACTGGACGTACTGTTTGAGCCTGTCAGTCGGTGGATCGTGCAATTTTCTAGGTTGGTCAAGTCTCAGAGCTATCATAAATAGCGGTTTCAGCATTTATTAGGCCGTAGGCCTGTCGCCGATTCGTAACATCGCAGAACATTCACAGCATTTTGCGGTCTCGAACTCGCAACTCACTGCTACAATTCTGCTTTGCTTAACCGCCCGGCCTCCTTGCCGATTCTGACCAGAAACTGGCGCACAAAGCTGGGATCGAACCCGCGCCTCTCTATAATAAATAATAATAATAATAGCGGTTTCAGCGTTTAGTAGGCCGTAGGCCTGTCGCCGATTCTTAACATCACAGAACATTCACAGCATTTTGCGGTCTCGAATTCGCAACTCACTGCGACAATTCTGCTGTGCTTTAACCGCCTGGCCTCCTTGCCGATTCTGACCAGAAACTGTCGCACAGAGCTGGGATCGAACCCGCGCCTCTCTGCGCCAGCTTGGTACTCTAGTGAGTCAATCTTGGTACCTACTCTGAACTTTAACCACTGGGCCACCCTGCCCCAGGAAGTTAAACTTTTTGTCCACGCACCCTGTTCACTTGTGTAAGCTTGACGTGATTTTGTGAGAGTCAAAAAATAATTTTCTTGTAATTCGTCTGAATGACACTCAAACATATATATATAATTCCTAATTAACTATATGTTAGAGTTATTCCCAAATCTTTAGTTCGTTTTTAAAATGAATAATTAAGTATTATTTTAGTTTAATTTGAATCAACAAAAGGAGCAGTAAATGTTCCGTCAAATTTATCGTTCGGCCTTCTGAAAAACTCCTTCTAGCTTGATGGATTTTTAAGTGTTCACAGAGTTTGAGTTCTGTTGTGATCAAAAGTTGAGTTCTGGCAGTGATCGAGGACGCACGTAGTGTTTGCGGGTCCGAACTTTCTCACTTCTTACTATGCCGGTTTGACTTATCTCGCGAATTTTGTACCGAAACGATTTCAGTGAAAGGTTCAATGTTAGTGCAGTTCAATCAAAATTGTGCGAATAGTGAGAAAAACGGCTAGTACAAGTGTTTTATTCCCGACAAATTCTAGTGCGTGACTAAGCATCTCCAAATCTATACGGACGGTTCAAGAACTGGTGATGGGTCAGTTTCTGCTGGAATTTTTGTGCCTTCAACCCAGTTGGCAACAGGGTGGCTGCTTCAACGAGAGCACACTGTGCTTGGTGCTGAGCTGTTTGCCATACACAAGGCCATGCAGCTTGCCACTGAAGACGTATCTATGAAGGAGGAGCCGGTTTTGATTCTGTCTGATTCAAGGTCCGCTGTGCAGCTTTTGTCTTGTTCATTGGGGCTGTCTCACCGCACAGTTGTCTTCAAGATACATGAGTTGATGCTGGTCAAGGGACTTGACAGAGTGGTTATTTGCTGGATCAGGGGTCACAGTGGTATCCGTGGAAATGAAGTGGCAGACAGGGCAGCAAACCTTGCGCACTCTAATGACCGCACAGCAAGATCTCAACTGTGCTTTGAGGAATGGATCTTCACTGTGAAGTCACTCACCAATCAAGAATGGGCTTGCAAATGGTCAGAAGACGTACAAGAAACAGGAAAAGGGACCTTCCGAAGAAGCTTGGGACCTGAGATATCTTATGTGGATTATGGATCGCTGCCACGCTCAGTTGAATGCGCTGTGTCACGTCTATGCCTTGGGCATGCTGGCGTCAATGCTCATCTGGCCAGATTCAATTTAGCTGACTCAAGTAACTGCCCAATATGCAATGTGGAGGGCACAATCGGGCACCTCATCCTGCACTGCACACAATTCATCAACCAGCGAAGAGATTTCCGTACTAGACTGGAGGGCCTTTCTCTGCCCTGGGATCTCTCCTCAGCTCTTGGCGGTGGGGATGCCCCAATGAGGAGACGCACTGCTGCCATCCGACATCTTGGTCAATATTTGCTTAACTGCAACATGGTGACCAGGCTGTAAATATTCTACCAAGCCTAATTGTACCTTTTCTTTTCACAATTTACTGCCGCACTGGCTGGTGGAGGTGCTAGAAAGTAAATAGATCTAAAAGTGAAGTGAAGTGTCCAAAACCCCATTTGTGCTCAGGCTGGGAGGTGTGCTACCGGCATACTTGAAGCCTACAAGTCAATTATAAAAAAAAACATGTTCAGTTAAAAAAAACATAAAAAAACATGAAGTTCAGTTAAAATTTGAGGATGTTAGGTTGTTAGATGCAAATTTGTGTATTTTTCGAAGTTGCAATATATTAAAATTGCATAATGGTTCTTATTCACGATGTGGTATAGTTGTTTAATTTTTGTGCATTAATCCATATCCACCTTAGCACAGCATTTATGTGTCCAATGCCAATTAGCATCCATATTGGTACCTAATAACCTAATTCAATGTTGTGCTGCAGGTCCAATGAAAAGTAATTGACAAATTTGACATCATATACCTAGATCACTAGTAGTAGTAGAGGAGCCAAGATCCTTAACTTTTAAGTAAGATTTGAAGGGCATGTGATGTTGAAAATTTGTTTGATGACATTTTTTTTCTCCTTTCAGGTACACAACTGTATATCATATCATTAATTTTTGCAGACAAGTGAATTAGCCTAGTACCTCAACAATGCCATCTATTGATGAGTAAGTAATGTTAAATCATTGTTATATGGCCATTTCATGCCAAGTTCTAGATCTTTGTCAATTGTCAGTGTTGATGTTTGTGCTTTTAAAGCTTGGCACTGTAGATACCTAAATACAGGAGTGCTCTCCGAGTGCAATCCATAATTACTTGGGTATTGTATTGCATCTTTATTTGAGATTGAAAATGTTTTAGGTAGAGATTAGTAAGTTATTCCTAAAATGGGAAATGCCATGTACAAAAATATCAAATTTGATATTTAATTCATCATTTATACATATTTGAAATGTTGTGAAATAGTAATTATATTTATTATGAAACAAATGTCTAATTCGAGTTTTGGTTAATGTAAAATGTGAGTTTGAATGTCATTTTAATAAGCATACCAAATTTTTATTATTCTTATTGAAATATGGGACAATAGGAATGTGATTTGTGATAAGGGGATCCTAAAATTACAGGAATTATTAAGCCTAGGCAATGCTGGGCTAACCTGCTTGTATAATTTGCCTTGATCGGTTTCAATAAGAAAGTCATGTTTATGAAATTTTTAGCAATGTTTTGTTTATCGAAACTTATGCGAAAACTGCTGCTCTATATGCAATTTAATATTTATCTTTTCTTTTTACAGACATGGGCCCAAGAGCAGCTGGGCTGATGATATATTGGGTGAGAAGAGCCTCATGAAGTCCCAATAGTTGGGTGATGAGAGCCTCATGTAATTGTTGACCTTCTTCCAAATGTTTAAAAATACTTATGTTCTTATGATGACACAACTTGCTTCAGAAGGTTGTGTGTTGCAGCAGGTGGCTGGTGCAAATGGACCAACAGCAAATGCTTTTATGGCTTCTATGACCAAAGTTCAAATTTGTGTATTGTGGCAAAGACAATATTATCATGCCAATGAATATGATGTTGGTTGAAATCTTGAACCAGCTCAATAAATAAAATGAAAAAATTAGTTTTTTTTTTCACTGTTGATGCTGTTCATGAATTAGCATTTATGCCCTGAATTAATCTCAGTTTTTTTTTAATCTCTCTAGCCTAGCAATTGCCTACTAATTGGCTACTTGATAAAATTATCCATAAATAACATGATTCATTACTGTAGATTGTAAGCAATAGTTACTCATCTATAGGTTATTTAAACCATTTGACAATACTAGTTCTCTAAGCTGATTGTTCCCAATTTTGGAGCCATAGAAATTTGATTATCATGTAAGGGCACAATATAAAAGCAACTTATTGCATTTTATGGTTCTTGCATAGAATTGTTTTCTCTTTGCAGACTTGCCTCCGCCGTCAGTTCAAGTGGAGGGAAATACCAAGACTTTAACCGAGTACAGCTATGATGATAATGACAAGATGATAAAGGTAAATAAAGTGGTGATACCATGTTGGCTATTCTGACCAATTGTTATATGTTCTTATTATTAGCTTGAAAGCAAATTTAGATGAGCTGAAAGTTTTGCATTCAAAAATTAGTATTCGTGGAATGTTTACATTTTAAATGGGAAATATTGATGAATACTAATATTAATGAATAATTGATACAAAATTATGTAAATCTTGATTATCTGATGATAACAATTAGGTTGTATCTAGGCTATCAACTTGGGAGAATAATTTTAAAGCCTAAATGTCACTAATTTATTGAAGATTTTCCTTGTTACATAAAAAATTTCTTCTAAAGCCACTGTGCTGTTGAGTTCACTCTTTAGTTTCAAGTTTTTTTTTTTATTATTTTTGAATAATTGGTGTGAAATTGGACAATACTCTGTTAATTAGACACTGGTATATCCATTTAATCATTCCAGCACACTGTTTGGCCAGACTATGATGCTTAACTACTCTGCTGGCCCTAAATATTCATGTAAATTTTATTGTGGCAACATCACTGATGAATATGTTTTGCTCCGATGCTGTTCATGTGATATAAAAAATGCAGCTTGGGATGCCTTGCTTGAATTTCAAATTTTTATCCAGGAAGATTGGAATTATTTAAGTAGGTATAGTTTATACTTATATGTTTCTTAAACAATTCTTATTCAAAGATATTTTGCATTCTTTCTATAGGCAGTTCATGAAATTAACAAGTTTTTACTGTTTTAAAATTTATTTATTGATTTATGTTTCACATATTCATTGTTTGTTTTGCAGATCATCAGCACATTCCGCATAGAGAAGAGGCAGGTGCCTAAGGCTATTGCACTGAGGAAAGGCTGGAAAAAGTATGGCCAGAGTGTGAACGATGCACCAGGACCAAACTCTGCCACTACCATTGTTGCTGAGGACGTCACCATGCAAGTGAGTGCATTGTTACTCACTAGAGTCAGAGTGCCATGCTAGTGAGTGCATTGTTACTCACTAGAGTCAGAGTGCCATGCTAGTGAGTGCATTGTTACTCGAGTCAGAGTGCCATGCTAGTGCTGTCTCTTATACACATCTAGATGTGTATAAGAGACAGACTGAGTGAAGGTTCTAAGGAGAGATCTCTGCTCCTAATTAGCCTTCTGAGNGCACTGTTACTCACTAGAGTCTCACGCTCTGCATGCGTGACTGCTATGACTCTTGATTCAAGGTCAAATCTCAGATCTGTGGATATTATTTGGTGTTCAATCTTGTTCTGAGGATGCAGATAGGTGGAAAAACGTTTTAAGACAAATTAGTAATTTTTGTTGTCCTGGAACTGATCGTAAATTCTGAGTGGTTGTATAAATCGCTGTTTGTCATTTATATACTTATTTCCGGTCGTGGCTGCTTCATTCTTTATGCTGTTTTGCCTTTAAATGAAACTTGAATTGATGAAATTAAATTAATGCAAACTTCAACGTTGTCTATATTCTTGCTTTCAGTGAATGAAGACAATTTTTGATCATGATTAGCCTATGAACGATAGTAATCCTTCACTATTAGTCAGCATTCATTATTCATTTCACGTGTTTTTTATGGACCAAAAGTAAATTTGGACAGTCACATCTGGCATAACCGGCTGTTTTTTTATGTACCGAAAGTGAATTTGGACAATTGCATCTGGCATAGCCGGCTGAGTAATATTAGAATCTAACCTTACTTCAGTAGCTGCTATGTTGAATGATAAGTGGCGGTGAATCTATTAAAGAGTCGCGTCCTGCCAGTCCTACAGCGAGGTTCTGACCATGCTCACTCCACTCTGTTACTTCACTGGTGATCTGCGGCTTTGCGATTGGTCTTTTGGTAGTATTATTAAAGATATATTATTTTGTTCATTGATCATGAATGTCAGCTATGCTGGTTGGTATTTTAAACGTGCTTCTTTCAAACTGTTTGATTCTGGAATGAACTCTACGTTTTATCCCCCCTAACTGAAGTTTTAATGAACAGAAACCAAGTTCAATAAAACCCCAGCGATTGAAACTTTATTAAGGTTTGTCTATTACCAGATAGTTACCGGCGTTTAACTGTAGATCTCGAGCCTGCTGATGATACCGAAGAGCTGCGGCGAACGTCCGGTGATAGTAGCACAAACCCAAGTATTTTTTAGAAATCGAAATTTTTCTGCTTCAAATTCTCATTTTTTTTATTTGCACCCTAAATCTAATTTTTTAACTTTTTTATCAGTTTGTGACGGTTAAAGATGAGGAAGATGCCGAAAAAGAGGACGTCAAGAAAAAGCTCCTGGACCAGGCCAAGGGTCAAGTGAAATGTCGCATCTGCAGAGAAGATCATTGGACAAAACTTTGCCCTTACAAGGAACAGCTGGATCCTCTCAGGACTTCCCTTATGGTGGGTTTTGTGGTCTTTATAGTCCACCGGAGTTGAGGTCTCGTTGCAGCATGGTTGCTGAATTCTCTTAACCCGTTGCATGTGAGACTGCAGATGTGTATTAATGTGGTGTTATGCTGTGTGTAATATCTAAATTTGAGGTATTACGTCTAATAGCGAACCAATTTCTTTGTTTATTCATCCTTTAAAACCTTATATCGTGTTTAAAAGTAATTTGTTTTTAAGCCTTATAATTAGACGCATGATAATTGTTCAAATGATTGCCCCAAATGCGTTTCAATTCACATCTATAATACAGGGAGACGACAAAGAGGAAGAAAATGCTGGACCAGTGGCTACAGGCTCTGGTGGTAAGTCGCTTGGTGGCAGTGGAGGCAAGTATGTGCCCCCCAGCATGAGGGAGGGCGCCAACAAGCGAGGGGAGAGTATGGGCAACCGCAGCGGTCGCGATGATGCCATCACCGTCAGGGTCACGAACTTATCGGACAGCACCCGAGAGCAGGACTTGCAAGATCTCTTCAGTCCTTTCGGTGAAATTGTCCGCATTTACCTGGCGCGCGACAAGAATACGGGAATGCCTAAGGGATTTGCGTTTATCAATTTCATGGTAAGTTTTCTTACTTGAATCAAAACTATCCGATAAGTTGCTGTAGATGAGGTGAAGTCGCGAATGGTTGTCAAACATTAAATAAAGTTAGAAGGTAGGCCGAAATCTGCTGACATACCGGTACAAATATCTTACATTCTCTCCTATAAATGCGCCGTGATCAAAATATCGGCTGCTCTTTTAAATCAAATGGATACTCAATATTACCTCTTTGATGTGTATTCCAGCGCAAAGAAGAAGCTGAGCGAGCTATCGAAGTCCTTAATGGCTACGGCTATGATCATCTCATTCTCAACGTGGAGTGGGCAAGGCAAGTACAGTTCCTTTTTTATTCTTTTTACAACACTTCTCTTTAACTTCACTTCTTGTTTGTTTGTCTGTCTGCTACAAATCTTATAATCGACATTTTACTCACTTCTACCTGTCCAATCAATCTGAAATTTTGCACAGTTGCGTAAAGTTGGAGACAATGCGTGAATCAATTGTCAGAAATTTTTTTTATAAATTTAAATTGTTGTTAACATTAAAAAAAATCAAAAATAATTTTTTTTTTTCATATTACAAATAAAGTGAAAAATTCATTGTACGTGTGTAACATCGAAGACACTAGATTCTTTAGAAGTGCTGTCGTTGAAAAGTAATTTTTAATCACATATTATTGATGACTGCTGTCTCGTCTGAATGAAATTATTAAACTCATAACATCTTTCGAACGTTAACCATGATATCATATTTATTCTTGAACGTGGCTAAATTGACATTTTTTTCATTTTACCAGGCCATCGGGCACTCAGTCGTAGAGGCTGACGTACGTGGCTATCTTCAGCTTTGATGGACGGAACCATACACCTCATATCCTATGTGACGTTTGTCAATGGTTTAGATTGATACCATCTGATTTATTACAGATAAAAAGGTCTCTTGACTTTCCATTTTCCATATTGCCGCATTTTTCTTTGAGTTTTCACTTACGTATAGGCGTCACGATATTGAGCTTCATTGCGAGATCGCGTCCGTGGGTTGGTCAATTTAAAGATTTTAATTCATTGGCTCTGGCGTTTCCGAAATAGCAAATCGTTCACAGTTTGAGTGTGAAGGCAAATTTGCGTTTCAATGCTCTGAAGTTTGACTATTTCTTTTACCCAAAATAAAGAGTGAAGTCTGCATCATATTCACAGACTTCTTAAACACTATACAATCAAATTCGGGTTTGAAAGTGATCAGTAATGAATTTATTTAATTATTATTAAAGTAGCTGAAATGAAAATTTTCATAGCTTTTTAGTAGACAAATGTATTAAGCTCAATCTTAGATTTGTTTATATCTGAATACATGTACCCAATGGTATCAGTAGTAACAGTTTGGTGCCATATTTATTGAAACTTTGTTAGGATGCAATTAGTTTTCATAGTTCCGCCTGAGAATCATTTCCGTGGGTGCAAACTACTTGTTAGATTACCAAACGCCCAGCGTTTCAAGTATTAAAAGTCCCTACAAAACGCAGGCATTGTTTGGTTCAATTAATTTAACATAGTTTATGACATGATGACTTTTCGAAATCTTTAGCAGAATATATATTATAATATAACGCAGATTCAATGTATTAATTTTTCAGGTTGTCCTAAATTCGTAGAATTTGGAATTGGTGATTGAAAAATTATATCGCTTCAAGGTGCCATGACAGGTCAAAATGATCCATTATGCAAGGATTATTTTGATCCACTACCCCCGAAATTTCGAATTACGGAACGGAACTGATATCCGCGTCATTTTATAGATATTATTTTCACCATGGCATTGGCAAAGTGAGTCAAATGGGAGGTTGAGAATTTCAGGTGCATGATTGCCGATTGCGCAGGTTGCAGTGACTAATTGTAATGCTAAATGCTAATGCATGTCATGTATAATACAGTTGACTATGAAAGTAGGATTATGCTTTTTTACTGCTTGTCAGGCCAATTTCGGATCTTCGGAGCAAAGCGAATGTGGCACTGGGCCCTGCCGCCCTGGGGTCTGCCACTGCCAGTCTGGTTATTAGCTGCTCTGTTCTTGGGGTACTCGATGCTAATTGATCGTTTTCCCTGACAATTGAGGAGACTTGGCATTCGATAATTGTTTTTCTGTGGGCCTTGTTTGTAGTACCTTCATCCAATTGACAAATTGTAAGTTTAAGTTTCTGTTTAATTTTTTTTTCTGATTCCCTATTATTACTATTTTTTTTTCTTTCTATTTTTTTTTTTCACTATCTCTGAGCCTGTGCTGCCTCGGCAGTCACGGTGTAGCGGTTCCCGGTAAGCCCGCACAAATATGCGAGACTGTAACTCTTGAGACCTTGGTCATGGAACCAATACTGAATGTGGTCAGAAGGAGTCACATTCAGGAAGGCATAAAACATGGAAAACACTAAACAATTTACTACTAACAAAACACAAAATACAAAATGGCAGATACAACAATAAATGAATGGTACCTAGTCTAACTGGAACACTAGCGGTGGTGTCAGTTCAGCCCACTTGGTGGTCTGGGTAAAGTACTCTAATGAGTGGACCACTGAGGCCTCTCAGCGTTTCAGTTTCAGGTAATTAC